ATTATATCATATTTGATTATATTCTTTGAGTTCCTGGATCCAACTATGCCTTTATGACCCCTTGATTTTTCTGGTTCTGAGCCAACATATTCTGTTATTCATATGCTTTAGATACTTGCAACTAAAACTTTTTTTTACAAACACAACAAAAATAATGAAAAGTGGAAATTTGTGTAAATAGATACAGAATTATTTTAAGTATTTACTGTTATATATGTTCACATTTTTTTCACAAATTGTACTTGAATTTTGGGGGGTTTTGCTTGGAACTAACTTTAAGAAGTGTCATAAAATTGAAAGTGAATGACCCAAATACAATCCTTACATTGCTGCCTTGTAGTCTAGGAATTGATAAATTATGTTACTAATGGTACTAGTGAATGTACATAATTTTCCTAATGCTTCTATTGTTTCTTCATCTACTTTGTGGTCCCTTTACTTCAGGCTATTTTAATTTTCTTTTTTTATATTATTTATCTATTGTTTAATGCACATTTGTAATATCACATGTGACCAACATGTTGATGACTTCCATAATTGTACCTTCTCCCTTGATTTCCAGATTTCCATACACAATTACTACTCAATATCCTTTCTTACATAAGAGTATAATTTTGTTCCATTATTTCTTAGTCTCATGTGAAATCATAATTAACATTATTGGGTAAGTATCAAGAGAGAGGAAAAGTGAGGAAGTAGCAGCTTTAAAACCTATTAGTGCACAAAATGGTGCTCATTAGGGGTTAGGAATCCTACTATGTGCTTGGCTAATAACCTAAATAGCAACTCAGAGGAGATGGGGTTTATAAATTAACTCTTCTCCCCTTGGTCCCTTACTGATCTCCTTCCACCAGGTAATTAATTTTAATATAAATGGAATAGGCCTTAGGTGGCGTGGTAACTCATTTCCTATTTCCTCTTCTCCATATTTTTCTCATCTTTTGAAGCTATCTACATCAGAAGTCCCCATGCACAAATTCTTACAGTCATAGAGATTCATTTCCCAAAGTACTGATAGTTAATTGAACAATTTCCCACTGAAATACTTCACCGGTCATTTTCTGTTGTGCATCCTTAATTTCACTAAACTTCTCATACTATTCCTGAAAATTGCAGTAATTTTCCTTTGATTGATGACACTTTACTAATGATGGCTTCACAGAGCACTTTCTGGGTATATTAAGAAACATTTTATACGTAGTCTCTCAGTTTACACCTGTAATCCCAGATACTCTACTTGAGAAGCAAAGATCTGAAAGATCAAGATTCGAAATAAGCCCTGGCAAAAGTTAGAGAAATTTCATTTCAATCAATAAGCCAAGTGGTTCACATCTGTAATCCCAACTCAGTGGGAAGTACAGGTAGTGGTGACTTGATCTCAGACCAGAATAAAATGGAAGTCCATTCCAAAAAGTAACTGAATCAAAAATGGCTTGAGATATGGCTGTGGTGGTGGTGCTAGAGTGAGCGCCTACTATCCAACTCCATACCCTATATTCAAACCCAGAATTTCCCAAAACAAACACAAGCAAAAACCTCCTACGTGTTTCATTAATGATTTATATGGTTAATATTTTCCTATTTAAGCTCATTCCCAACAAATTTTATTTGATTTATGTATTCACTCCTCCAGTTTAAGAGATACCTGCCTTATCCTTAATATTTAGCACGGTGATAGTAGAATATAGAAGATCCTTTCAAAATATGGCTGATTACATTGATTTTCTTTCTCTTTTCTCTTTTTCCCTTCTTTCCTTCCTTCTTTGTTTCATTCCTTCTTTTTTACTCTGTTTAAAGACACAGTCTCTTTAATCCAGTATGAAGCTAGATAATCCAGACTGAAATTTAGAGTCCTTCTGGCTCTACCTCCAGAGGAATGGGATTCCATACTTGTTTGACTTTGTTTCTACTTTTATTTAGGACCACCGTAGCCTATCATCTCACCAGAGAATAATCAAGGGAATTACGCCTATGAACAGTCAGTTTCTCAATTTCAGCATTGTGTCTAGGAGTAAAAAGTTGCTTCATGGTCATCATTCTTTTCATAAAAGTATTCTTGAGCTGAGGACTATGTAATGTTATCCTCCAATTCTATGCCTTTGTAAGAGTCCCAAATAATCTTTAATCATTTTAATTCACATCTGTAATAAACCTATGCTGTTCCTTTTGAACCTCATGTATGTTCAAATTTAAGAAGCTGTGTACACATTGAGATATTCCTTCTATTTGGAATCTTCTTGTCCAAGAATCTATTCCTCATCACTGTTTTACTCTGCTAAATCATGGGGTAGCCCCAAAGACCTGCCCATATAAAAACAAATAGTAACTTTTCTATATACTCTTCAATGTTTCCAGGTAACACTTTGGAAATAGCTGCCATGTCCCCTGCTGTCTGTAAATTCTTCTATATTCTTTTACTTAATTTCACTAATTAAAGGATGTCAAGTTATACTGAAATATATCTATTTATTTGTTTTCTTATTTTCTTTCTCATTACTAAAACACAGCTTTTTGAAGAAGTAACAAATTTGTTTTTATTCTTTATTTTATTCCTAGTGTCTAGATTAGAAAACAGAACACAATATTCCTACCATAGTCATTTGAAAAAAAGAACAACTGAAACATCACACCCCCTTCTACATTGTTCATGAATACTATGAACAATAACTTTTTATGTTTGAGTCATTATGTTTTCAATTCTGAGTTTGAAGTATATCACAAAGATATCCCTTTCCCTCTCTTACTTCACACACACACACACACACACACACACACACACACACATTCCTCTCTATTCTTAGATTTGGCCTCTGTAGGTTCAATTTACTGATGAAAATTATTCAGAACAATAATTATCTTTTGTCATTATTCCCCAAGCAATATTTTATAATAACTATATATAAAGCATCTATATCAAATTAGATATTAGAAGTAACTAGAGATAAAGAATAGGGGAGCATATGTGTAGGTTATATGCACAGATGACAGCTTTTTATAGAAAAGACTTTAGCAACTGTGGATTTTGGTATCACTGGGTTTCTGGGAAAAATCTCCCATGAATAAGGAAAGACAACTGTGTAAATATAATCAAATTCCAATTTCCTTCCTATTTTAATATCCATGTTATCCTCTGAATCATGAGAGGAACATTGTTGATAGTTTCAGTAGCTAACTATTCTTCCTTTATTTATATAACTTACTTTTTGATATATCCATTTATATTTTCCTTATTAAATTCTTCTTTCTTATTTTATTTCTTCAATATGATGATAGACCATGCAAAAATATATCCCCTCATTAGTAGTGAGAGTGACATGATCTCTAACATTCTAATAAAAGACTACAATTTTATTAAGAAAAATGTATGCTCTTAGGCTTCATCCTATGATTATTGTTAAGATGAGAAAAAGAACTATTTCTTTTATCTTTTAACGTATACTGCTTAAGTATAACAAGTAAAATCAGAGCAAATGATTAATATATAGGTAAAGAAATGGCATTCACAGTCTATTTCAATAAATATGAAATCTAATGTAGAGAGACTGGAACTGAGCATGGTAGTTGGCAAAGTATTGGCCAAACATATCAAAGGTGATGAACTGATAAACAGTAGACACATGTTATACTTTATACTGCATAGACACTCCATCCATCAGAAATTCTTACTGGCATTTGTCTATCAAATTTAAAAATATTTTTATATATTTTGACCGATATTTGAAGCATAGGACATAACATTATGAGTTATACATGCAATTTTAAACTAGATCTTTTTCCAAATTGGAAGTAGACTTTTATACCTATATTTTTAAAGTATCCTTGATATTTGTTAAAAAGTAAAAATTAGAAGGTGGAAGTGGAAATTTCATATATCCATATATAGAATTTGAAATCAGTCTTCTTAAAAAAATAAGTATTTCTGACTATGAGAAGTTGGCTAAAGCATGGATTCCCAAAAAAAATATTTATTGTGTATAAAGAAGGCTTCTAATGATGACTGGTTTGTGGCTTCCCTATGCTGCTTTCTCTTCTGTTATAAAATATTAACAGTAATAATAATAATAGCATTTAAATAATACTATTATTGAAGGATGAGAATATGGTAAGAACTAAAAAATGAAAAGTGACAGATTAGGTGTAATGCAAGTATTTGAATAAAAAAAGTATGTAATATGTGCCAATTAAGAAAAATCAGAGCATAACAAACCATGCACAAATATTAAATTCAGCAGAATAGGGGAGTGACTCAAATTGTGAAACACCTGCGGAGAGTATAAGACCCTGGTTTCAAGCACCAGTAGTTAAAAAAAAAAGACCAAGAATTTAATGAATTATATAAAAGGATAAATATTTACATGTTCGTCAATTAGATGCCAAAATGAGTTATAGGATGCTGAAATTACTTATTGAGTATGCATCTTTAATGTAATTAAAATATATTACATTCAGGTTAAATGAATTTTCCCTCAAAGAACAGGACAATTAGTGTTTGCACATTCTCATATGTCTATTTCTCTGCAGTTTGGAAGTTTACCTCAGTATGGTGATTTTTGTCAAAAATATGATCAAATGAGAAAAGAAAAGAAAGAAAAATGACATCAACTAATTTTATTTTGTTTGTTTTGAGACAAGAACCTGGAATTCATTGTATAACTCAAGCTGTTTTGAGCTCAGGATTCTCAGGCTTCCAGGGTGCCCTCAAACTTCGATGATTTGAATTGTTCAAAGAAGCTCAGTGGATTTTTAGCTTGTAAATAAATTCAAAGGTAAAATAGGTGAAAAAATTCCATCAATTTATACAATCAAATTTTGATTAAAACACTTGGAAAATTTTTTATATATATGTACAAAATGCAGTTTCATTTAATATTCTGAAAACATAGGAAAGATCTGTAAAATGAGAGAAAATGTTACAAATGAATATGTGAAGATTCAATTTTAAAATGTATGAAATTATATATAGAAAATTATGTATCACAAATCTGAGTTTCAAGAGAAACATGCTCTAGAGAAAGAATGAAAGTCACTAGACTATAGATGACTAGGAAATCAGAGTGCATTATATGTATTGAATTCTTAGGTAATATTTTTTATAATGAAAACTTAGTCTTTAAATAATCACATTTTTATTAATTAGGCTCATAAATTTAACCTTGTATATCTTGTCAATAAAAGAGAATAACTTTAAAGAAACAAAGTGGTTTACTTTAGTCAAGTAACATTGATTCAAGTTACCTTGTATGGTGTTTCACAGTGGAAGGAATTACATGGGCTTATTTTATAATTAGAACAAAACAAAATCATGAATCAATGTATTTTACATTGGTGGAGTTCATTGATAGGTAGGTGAAACCTTTTCTAGCGATTTCAGATGTTATCATATAGCCTTATTAGATTTACGGCTGTTATACACTATATGGTAACCTATAGGTCAGACAAGTTTGGTGATATATCCCAACAGTTCTATCTAATTTTATCTAGTTAGGTCAGTTACAGTTTGATAGCAATTAGCTAACAAAGAAACTAATGGAGGCCTAAAGTAATATTAGTTCTGGAATGACCTTGTTTGTGATCATTTGGGTAAATGTCCAAAAGTGGGATTGCTGGGTCATTGGGTAGCTCTATGTGGAGTCTTTTGAGGAAACTCCATTCTACTTTCCAAAGTTTTGAACAAGTTCAAAAACAAGGTCATAAAAAAGCTACCAGCACAACCATGTTTATGGCAGCATTATTCACCATAGCTAAGATATGGAACCAACCCAGATTCCCCTCAGTAGATGAATGGATTGAGAAAATGTGGTACATATATATATATATATATCGTGGAGCTCCAGTGGTTTCCCTTGTTTGCAATGACTAGTACATGTCTAGGACAAGCTATGTACATATGACTATATGAGATGATGTTAAGTGAAATGAACCCCAATACAGGGACACAAGTGTTTTTTTTGTTTGTTTGTTTTTTCTTTTTTGCTATTTTTTTTAATGTACTTAAATGCACTATGCGATTCTTTTGTTTCTTTTGTATCTTCTTCCCTGCACGGAATAACCCCTGTTTTCACTGTATTAGATTCCTGTGTTCTGCATCTTGTATATGCATTTTTGTAATTTGGAGAGGGGAGGGGATATAGCGGAATGCTTAAATAGGGATGCAGATTGATCCATTGTAACGATAAGATGTACAGGACACTATGTTGAAAACGAACTTTACAATGTCGGGGATAGGGAAAGGAGAGATTGGGGAAGTGGGGAGAGATGGGATGGTAGGGGAAATGCAAAGGAGGAGGTAACAATGCTTGATAGGAAATATACTCATTACCTTAATCATGTAACTATAACTCCTCTGTACAGTGTTTTTACAATAAAAATATATATATAAAAAGAAGAAAAGAAAGGAATGTCACAAAAATCTGAGGGGGTGAATTTTATCAAAATATATCATTTGCATGTTTGGCAACCTCACAATATTAAAACTCTTTTCATAATTAGTAAATGTCAATTAAAATGAAAATTAAAAAAATAGTTCTGGATGTACAATATTCTCTATCTCCACAATCACCACCATGTTCTTCCATTTGGCTAAGGTCAAATACTTCAGACTCTTAAATAAAATGTGTCTGCTTCAGAGAACCTCAGTTTGCCATCTTATTTTTTTTACCTTCCTTTTGCATTACTTCTCTTGTGTATTCATTTTCCACCTTGAATAATGAGCTACTTATCTCCAATAGTCCTCCAAAAAAAAAATCTAAAATAACTCCTACAGTTAGATACATTCCTGGAAACTCATAATGAAGAATTCCTTTAGTATTTAATAAGTTTCTAGCCAATGGAATATAAGTAGAAGTATCTTGTGGAAAAATCCAAGAATTGTCCTGAAGGTAGGTATGTAATTATTTCTTTCCAAGCATTTGCTTGATAGTATAAAATAATCAATTGATTAAACAGAAAGAATGACCTAGAATCTGATAAAAATAGATCGTGAGAGCAGTCATCAGATGTTTACAACTAAATGAGAAAGATTACAACTACATTAAGTCACTCCTATTTAGGATTTTCTGTTGATCATATATTAATTTTTATTCCAAAATAAAATTGGCTGGCAGTGTTGAAGTATGGGCAAAATTAGTCACACTGATAACTAAAATTGAAGGAAATTTATGGGAAAATAATTATTATAAGAAGTTTTTACCTTAAAAATTAATCAGAGTATTTGTCAAAACATATTTGTATCAATTTACTCATTCCATATGTGTGGTCCTTTCTGTTTATTGTAGGCTTAAATGCTAAATCTTACAGCAAGAATTGCAATTGATAATTTAGAATACAGCAGAAACTAAGAAAAGAAGGGAAAGTGAAATACAGAAGAACAGCAAGTTGATTATAATTTTCCCTTCAGGTTTAGATATGCAAAATCATTCTTCATCTAGTTAAGTGTTTCATTCAATCTGTGCAATTGTGAACAAAGGAGGCAATGTAAGTTTTGTTGGTCTCCTGCACAAATAACCTTTGTATCCTCTTTAAAGAAAATAAAAACACAAATTTACAAATACAATATTGAGTGTTGGAGGAGTTCCTGAAGAGAGGAAACTATATAAATGTTTAAAAGGCTACCACAATCTGAGGTCTTTATTTCTCTCTGTGCCACCAAATTCCAGAGACAGAAGTTGATAAAAAACAAAACAAAACAGATTTACTTGTTACCAGATAGTCCAATCTTATTTCCCTGTCCAGTGTGAGAGGGATTCAGGCAAAAATCTTTAAGCAGAGTTTACTAAGAAAAGACCCTACTGTGAAAAGAGTGACAGCAAGTAGTCTCTAGGGAGAGAAAAATGTCATTGACTTTAGGGCTTTAAAAATTCATTTATTTGAGTGTCCATGAGAAATCTCTGTCCTTAGCACCATACGTGCATGTGTGTGTGTGCATATATATATGCATATATATGTATATGTGTGTGTGTGTGTGTGTGTGTGTGTGTGTGTGTATTTTCTTCCTTTACTACAGTGTCATAAGCCAAGGAATGTTTATAGAACTTCAATCTACAAGTACCTACCTGACCAATAGGTATGGTTTATGAGCTTGGTTCTTTGTTTTGTCAACTTAAAGATCTATGCTCTAACACCATTTGCAGGTTGTGCACCTAAGTCTTGAATAGTGCCTCTCATTAATCATTATGTGGACTCAAAAAACATCTTGTGACATCCCATTGATCTTTGTGGGCTGCTTTGATCTTAATAGATGGTGGTCACCTATGAGTCGGAAAGTTTTAATTGTAATGGGTTTCTCTCAGAGACCTTGTCACCCCTTCTTCCTTGGCCATTGCTTATGTCTACCTGCTACCTGTCATTTTCAAGGCCAGAAAATCTCCACTTTGAAAGGTCGTGGGAGTTTGAAGGGTTTTTAGGAGCTAGGCTAGGCTAATGCAAGGGTAATCCCCTCCCACACACTGGGTGTAGAGATCAGGCTGTGATCTGTTCCAAAGTTATTTCTACCATAGAGAACAATAGTTTTCGGGCTGTGCCTTGCCCTGAGTGATTTCATTTTATAATATGACAGTTCACCCCATACTGAGTGCAAATGCTGAGGCAGAATGATTCTATGTCTTGCTTTTGCAAGTAAACATCTACCATCTGTCTAGCACAAATCATGGTACAGATCAGATATTTTCTTACACGTCTACATTTACAATATAAATATGCTTTCTGCCTTCAAAGTTGTATTCTCCTCTATCAACCCTTCATTCTGTTTCCATGGATGTGATGCATTAACTCCTCTTCAACAAAAAAGATTAGAGAAACAAAAGAAAAGGAGAGGAATTTAGGGACAGTCTAAATAAACCCATGACATTATCACCTTCATTACTTTTAATGGGAGAAAATCGTAAGTTATCAAAATCAATTATAGTAGCATTTTTGGCAGTAAAATAGAAAAGTTTCAGTGCGTTTCAACTGAACTATGGTATAACCATGAATACCCTTATTTAGAGTTACTGTATTAATTTCAAGTATTTTCATCAATGTGTTTTTGTATATCTATATTGCCAATAAAATACTTTTTTCATATATACTTTTATTGTAAAAATACTGTACAGAGGGTTACAGTTACATAAGTAGGATAATGAGTACATTTCCTATCAAGCATTTTACTTCCTCCTTTGTTTTTCCCCTACCATCCCTTCCAGCTCCATCTCTGCAACTTCTCCTTCCCCCTCACCCTGAAGTGGTAAAGTTCATTTTCAACATAGTGTCTTGTACAGCTCTCTGTTATAATGGGTCAACCTATATCCTTATTTAAGCAATTTGTTATACCCCCTCCCCTCCCCAAATTATAAAATTTTATATACAAGATGCAAGACAAAGGAATCAGACACAGTGAAAACAGGAAAACAAAAGAATCACATAATGCATTATAAGTACATTAAAAACAATAGCTAGAAAGAAAAAAACAAACACTTGTGTCCCTGTCTTGGTGTTCATTTCATTTAGCATCATCATATATGGTCATATGTACATATCTTTTGATCTTTTTTGCTTGTCCTGGACTTAAAATAGTTATTGCAAATAAGGGAAACCATGAGGCCTATGTTTCTTTGGGCCTGGGTTACTTCATTTAGTGTAACTTTTTCCAAGTCTTTCCATTTCCTAACAAATGGGGCAATGTCATTCTTTCTGATGGAAGCATAGAATTCCATTTTATATATATATATATATATATATATATATATATATATATATATATCACATTTAGAGCCTGTTTATTAATACTTTTTGTAATGTTTATCTCCTTAATAAAGTAGTACTTTTTAGCTCATGTGTAAAGGAAAAATAACAAAAATTACTATCACCATAGACTTTTATTTTTATATTACATTAATATTTTGACTAAATTATTCTCAATTTTTTGATAAATTAACTTTAAGTGACAAAAAAGAAATTGTACAAAAAATAAAATGAAGGAGGGGGTAACAAGTTGGACAAGAAATGTACTCACTGCTTGCGAGATGACAGCGTTGGGACCAGGGGAGAGCAATTGAAGCATGAATGGGGGAAATGGGGAGAATGCAGGCAAAATTTCATTGTATATATCACAGAATTGAGAAAAACTACATAACCTAGAGTTAAGCTAAGTAAGGGAAGGGGTGGGCTGGGCATGGTGTATGAGAATGCTGAAAGAGCTGACAATGATCAGGATACACTGTATTCATAACTGTTTCGGTGAATGACAGCTCCTTTCTACAACTATGTAATGGCCATCAAACGTTTCAAAAAATGTGCTCACTACTTTATGTATGGTAACTGTAACCCCACTGTCCATCACCTTGACAACAGATATTTTTAAACAGTAACTTAGGTAGTGAAGTTAAATGAATACATTTAACCTTCACACAATTCCCTATTGTCATAATAATAACATGATTATAAAACTTACCATGTAGTAACAAATTGATTTTCATTGTTTAAAACATAAATTCAAAAGTTTATGCATATGAAGACTTAAAGAACTATTCAGTTTGGATTAATTTGTATTTATTTGGCTTAAAAGATATAGTAGTCTATTTATTAAACATTTTTTTCTACACTTGTAATCAAGTGACTAGAATAGAAACAGAATAAATTTCTGATAAAACAATAAGACTGTGACATTCAGATCAATGTTTAACTAGTGAGCAAATGTCCTATATAATCCAAAAGAGAATATAGCAAAACAGTTATGTACATGAGCATTACTTGTATCAAAACTTAAATGCAGTTATATCTTAAATTCCATATGAAGTTTATTAGACATAATGCTAGGTCTTCTTCAGTCTTCTTTATAAACATCTAGGCAAACATTAAAGATTGGTTTAAATGTGCATGCAAGAAGTACTATTATTCAATTAAAGTGAACAAATAGATAAGTCCATTGAATTCAAAGGGTACAATTAACTTAAGTTCAGAAAATTCAAACTCTTGGTTTGTCCAGAGGACCCTTAAAAAAAAAAAAATTAAGCCAGCCATCAGTGGCTCAGGCTTTTAATCCTAGATACTAAGGAAGCTGAGATCTGAGGATCGTGGTTCAAAGCCAGCTTGGACAGGAAACTCCATGAGACTCATGTCCAATAAACTACTCAGAAAACTGGAAGTGGCACTATGGTTCAAGTGGTAGAGTGCTCACCCTGAGCTGAAGAGCTGAGGGATAGGGCCCAGGCCCAAAGTTTAAGCCCCATGACCAACAATTAAAAAATAAGTAAATAAATAAATAAATAACATTAAAAGCAACCATATACAATGTCCTATACAATATTGGTTGGTAATAGTACTCTGGGCCTGGGCACTGTCCCTCAGCTCTTCAGCTGAAGGTTAACACTCTACCACTTGAGCCACTGCGCCACTTCCAGCTTTTTCTGCTTATGTGGTTCTGAGGAATCAAACCCAGGGCCTCATGCATGCAAGGCAAGCACTGTACCACTGAGCCACTTTGAAAGTACATTTGAATCACTAAAATAACTAGATTAATAAAGTATTAACTAAAATAACTAGTTTAATAAAAGATTAACTAAAAGAACTAGATTAATATTTTAAGTAATTTGAGAAATAATTATCAATTTCAAAGAATATAATCCTTTGTCAGTATTTTGAAAAGATAGGGAAAAATGTGACTTTCACTCACATAATTTAGGAAGACTTAGAACAAAGTCTGCTGTATGCACATACATATCTGCTTGAATCAACTCACAAAAACATATTTAAATTATTTCAACTTAATTAACAAGGAAGTTATGATACTGGCTCATACAGGCAAAGCAAAGTTCTATTTCAATATTCAGTGTGTTCAAAAGACAGTTTTTTTAGTATATGTCAGTTGAATAAAGACATTTAGATAGAACAACAAACTTTTTTCTATAAACAAAATAGTCTTGAAATTCTAATGTAAAATACACTTCAATGTAAATTAAACTACATTAAATTAAATTCATCTAGAAAATCTAAAACCCTTATAATTAAGTTGTCCTTCTCAGGATAGCTCTGATGAAACCTGCCTGCAATCTCAGTACTTAGGAAATATAGGCAAGAATGTTACCTCAGAAACTAACCTAGGCTACACAGCAAGATCCTATCTCACTAAGTGTAAATAAATAAATACATAAATAAATAAAAAGAAAAACGAAAAAAAAAAGAGAAAAAGTGAACAATTGAATGAGTGAATAAATGTCCTTCACTTTAAAAATCATTTAGTGTCCCTTTTTTTTATTAGAAATTTAAATTTCTTTCTTTAAATTTTGGTCATATATTCTTTATTTTATGGCAATTAAGGATGAAGAACCACCCACCACACACACACATACACAGGTTAAATTCCACTTTAGTGAGAATGTTTCAGTATATTTTTTAAAAATATGCCCCCAGCTACTAGTAGTCCCTATTTTGTCTTCTGCAGTGACCTCTAAATACAGATACATTTTTCACAAACCATATTTTAAATTGTTCCCTTTCAGATATACTCAGCTACTTGCTGTGACTACACACAGTGAATAATTGTAACACAATGTAAATTCTGCCTTGTCAGCTTTTCCAAATTTTGTGAAAGTTTTCATCCATGATCACACACACACACACACACACACACAAACACACAGCTTTCATGGTGAGAAAGAGGCCTTATGAAAGAGAAACAAATAAGTACATTTTGCAGAAATATCATTCTGAAGACATTTTGGCAGAATGTTAAGGCTCCAACGCTTGGACAAGGAGTTCAATGGGAAATAGTAGCAGGGTGCAGTAGAGATGGATGGGTTTGAATAATGTGCACACTACATGACTGGCTGTTTCCTGCAGCATGAGAGAGGCAGAAGTAGCTAAAGGCACTCCCAGATTCCTATTTTCACCTATTTGGGAGGATATATTTCAATCAACCACAAGAGGAAGGGCAGATTGCCCATCTTGATGGAGACAAGCCTCCTTTCAGACTTCCATTACCCAAGGGAGATAGAGAGGCTTGCTTTCAAGATAAGATATGAAATGGGAAGGTGTCAGAGAGTTATGCTGTAACATATTTAAAACCTTAGCACATTGGAATCAATTTTGGGATGAAATCAACATATTTTGCAAAACTTATGAGGTATATTTTTTAACAAATACTTTAACTTTCTACCAAATAATTAATAGTAGGTTCAGAAATTCTAGGCTTTTTCACAGAATTCTGTGAAATATTTGAGTTGTGGATTTTTAATGTGCTGATAATTTCTTAACATATTATGAAGTTTTATGAAAGTTTTGTTTTGTTATGAGGGAGTACTGAAGTTTGAACTATGCAGAAACTAAACCTTGAACTGTATTCTCAGCTTTCTTTTGTTTTATTAATTTCATATATATATTTATATATATATGTATAGTGTTTTAGTTTTGCCCAGGGCTAGACTCAGAGACCAGGATCCTCTTACCTAAGACCTTCCAGATAATTTAGGGTTACAGTTGGGAGATTTTTAAAATTTCATTCTGTGTGTGTGTGTGTGTGTGGTATTGGAATTGAACTTGGTACCTTGTGCTTTCCCTTGGCTCTTTTGTTCACTTGAGCTATGCTTCCTTTTCTGACAGAGAATTTATCTCATTCGCCAGAATAGCTAGGACTATAGATATTGACCACTGGCACCTCGCACTGTTTTTTTTCCAGAGCTGGTTTCAAATCAAAATCATCATATTGATGTCTCTTGAGTAGTTGAGAATATACATTACGCAACTCTGCCTGACTATCACTCAGTGGAACTCTAGAGATCATATGTGGAACTCTGAAGATAATTTAAACAATTTTGAAATTGGGGACTACATTGATTGAATTATACTTACAAATACTAGAATTCTAGAAAACTAGAAATCAAATCCTGAAAGATAGGATCAAACATGAAGCATTCTGTAGTAATCATCTTAGATGCTTGGGGGTTTTCATACAAAGCCTTAAGGCTTCATGTCTGTCAGTAGATTCTCACCCTGCTTTCCTTTGTAATAAATACCCTTAAAGACAGATCAAGGCATTTTTGGTACCAAACAACATAATGTGATTGATGTTTTTCTTTATTAAATAAAAAACTTATAGCTATAAGGTCTGCATTTTAGGAAAGACTAATACTGGTGGCATATGTGACTGCAGATCAGTCTGAGTGGATAATAACCCTTACAGTAAGCATAATTCAGTCTTTGAAAACATTTTGTTTCCACAAGAATATAGGAATTAAGGCATGAAACCATTTGTAGAAAACACCAGAGTTGCAGACTTCTTACATTTATCTTCTTATTTACATATATCTGGAAGCTGATGTCTTCGCTGATGAGTGAAATAAACTTGGTTGGGACAGGAGAAAGGGATGGATGCTGAGGACAAACTAAAGATATCACTGCCACACTCATTTTCAGTCATATGAAAATATAAACACAATGTTGACAAATCTATTTTTTTTCATTTTTTTCTCCAAGATGAATTGGAAATTCTGGGATTCTCTAAGAATATATAAGAGATTTTTTTCTGATCAAAAGTGTACTTCGTCAGCTCTGCTATATGAATCTATCAGATAGTTTATGAATTCATGAGATTGAGAGATACAAAATTAATATACAGGAACCTATGAGCGAAGTTTCATTTATGTCCATACCACAGTTAAAGGGAACAC